CACACACAAAAAAAAAAAAAAAAAAAAAAAATACAGCTACCCTTACCCTTTTTCATTAAATTGTAGTAATTATAGTAAATAGGTGATTCTAAAATTTATTTAATATTTTGTATTATTTAATATCTATACTTCACTATAATTATAGTATAGATAGCTTTTTGTTATTATTATTTGAATAATAATGAAACATTCTTGCAGTAATTTGAAATGACTATAATATTATACTTATTATCATATATTTCTTACCTTTTCACCATTAATGGAAAATTTATTTTTCCGGTTAATGAAGACAAAACAAAAATTAATATCACCACACTCGCAACATCTGCGGTTTCATTTGTATGTAACCCAAAATAATTCTTGGTAAGCTAGGTAGAATCACATTTGTGATTGCACTCCAGTTCTTTTACAGCTGGTCGAAAGAATTAACATCTACTGTATGTGGAAATAGCGAACAAAACAGTAAGAAATTGGAACAATTACCTGTGGACAACTTGTATTCATAGCATTCTAAAATGAGCTTTTGGTAAAATTTGACCGCAAATAAAACAGTAGTAATGAACGAATGTTTTTTCACGAAGTGGGTCCAATACTTTCACAGCAGGGTTATTTCATGTATTCTGCAGAGAGACTGATGTATGGTTTGTTGTAACTGCTGTATACAAATGTCTGGCTCAGAATTCCACAGCAGTAATTAGCACAACTTTCATGGTTGATGGTATAATATGGAGGTACCAAAAATTAGTATTATCACAGTAACTGCAAGATGGCTTATATTTCTAAAACTCAGTTAACACATTTCATGCAGAAAGAAAAATATATCCAGTTTCATACTTAAATCAAGGTCACTGAAATGTGGTAAAAGCAATCTGCTTAAGAAAAACAGATGCCTCTGTAGAGGACTTTCTATGGAAAACTGGCTTTCATTCCCATTATACATGGGCAAAACCAATGTCATGTAATATAATAATCTATTAGTACAGTAAATACATTTAATTTCTTTGTATTTATTTATGTCATGCTGCTTTTCGTGTAATTTAGTATGATAACCTTATAAGTTTATTTAATTCTGATCATGGTCTACGGAAGTAAGGTAAGTCACCTGTTATCGAGAATATCAAGTTATTAATAGTTATGTGAAAGTCTGCAATAACTTTTCATATCATAAGAGATTTACGAATGTGTATATAACTTACATGTGTAGTTATTATGCAAGATCTATAGAAAGTATCCAAAATTACCATGACATTAATCACACTGTACGAACAGGCAAGACATTATACATTAGGAGAAAATTAACTAATATTTTGGGGGATGAAATACTATTTTACACATGGGAACTGTTTAAAAGATTCATGCTTTTTCCCCTACAGTTACAGAATATATATATATATTGTTTCATAAGAATAAAAAGTAAAGTTAAATTTAAATAATTCTCATGTGCCATTGCTGCAAAGAATGAAATTTGAATTTAACAAATATTCTCTATTCATATAAAGTTAATTTAAATTATGAAATTTTAATTGCATACATATCAAAGATTAATTATTGCTGCAAACTAATTTACTATATCACTGAAATTCTGAGAGCATATGTAAATTAAATGCACGTATCTAAAACCATGAAAAAATATATAATATTCCAAAAAACTAATCCCAAATATATACATATATATATATATATCTCAAAGACAGGCATATGCATAATTTCTGTTAGAAAAACAATTTCTCCGAGATTACGTTTTAGAGTAATTAAAACAATAAATTAATGGTGATATTATTACTGCATTCCAAAATTCGCAGTAATTAACGATTTCGATCATTACTACGAAAAAAAAAACGGGATGAAAAAGAAAGAATCCTGATACAATAACATTAAAAATTTGTGTGTTTACGTATAAAAATATATAATATTCTCAAATAGGTCATTTAAGCATAGTCTTTGATTCGGAAACATTTCCAGAAGTATTTCAGTTTTCATAATCTGAAGTAAAAACAAACCTGCTTTTGCAGAGAATATCCATTGGCAGTTGCCTTCAGAAAAGGTTTCAATTCATTGAAGCAAACCGATTTAATCTGAATCAACTGATGAATTCACGCTCCACATTTCAAAAGCATTACGACTGTCTCTTAAATGCCAAGGAATTCGATCAGCATTTCTCCGATTTCTTAAACGCCTGAGCAAAATCACTTCAGCCATCTTGTTTACAGTCGCTGTTAAGAGTTTGCGGTATATTAAAGAACCTTGGTTGCGGCAGGTCAGGAGTAGCCGCAAAATTCCTCTATGGTAGTGACGTATTTTCAGTAGGCGTGTCCGAAAAGCGTTGCACTTGAATTCGGTTTTGCAATGCAAGTGCGATTACCATGACAAGCGTTGCACTTGAATTCGCCCCTTAGAGTTGATAGAAATGGAAAAAATGGCTGTGTCATCAGCGTATTGAGCAATTTCTGTACCAGGATGTTTAGGGAAGTCATTGACATATATTAAATAGAGGAAGGGAGCCAAATTTCCTCCTTGAGGTACCCCCGCCATAATTTTTCTGCGAGTAGAATATTCATTATTGATTTTGACTTGAAAAAACCTATTGCTCAAATAGCTATAAATAAGATTGATGATTTCAGGAGGAAAATTGTAGTGAATTAATTTGTATATTAAACCAGTATGCCAGACTTTATCAAAAGCCTTTTCAACATCCAGGAATAGGGCTACAACAGTTTCTTTTTTATTAAAGGCTTCTCCAATCTTTTCCACAATGCGGGAGACCTGATGAATGGTAGAGTATTTTTTACGAAAGCCAAATTGCTATGGTGAGAGGATACTATTATCTTGAGCATACTGATATAATCTTTTTTGTATGATTTTTTCGAAGATTTTTGAAATGGAGGGAAGAAGAGAAATAGGTCTATAGCTAGTAGTAAATTTGTTTTCTTTTCCAGGTTTTTTGATGACAATGATAGTGGCAATCTTCCAGGTCTGTGGAATATAATTATTGCGAAGGCAAGCATTAAATAAGTTGACAAGATATATGATAGCTTTTTTGGGAAGATTTTTAACTGCGTTGTTAGTAATGTTATCATAGCCACAGGCTTTCTTGCTATTGAGAGATTTAATAATTTGATTAACTTCAGTGGGACTGGTAGGTATGTTTGCTTTACTCCTATTGGAATGAAGGAAGTTTTTAACTCGCTCTTCAATATTTTCATCAGTAGGGTGTGAGATATTATTAATTTGGAATTGCTCTTCAAAGGTATCAGCAAAGGCATTTGCTATATCTGCAGGATGATGAATAGTTCTATTGTTGTATTCTATTGGACCAATTTTATTATACGGATTTCTTAACTTTCTTGCAAGTTTCCATACAGAGTGATCAGTATGAGAAAGATGTTCAACATAGGTATTCCATCTGTCTTCTTTATGGTCATGACAGAGCTTTTGTACCCTATAATAAGCTCTTTTATAATTAATGTTATCTCTAGGATTTCTGGTTCTCTGCCAAATTTTTCTGAGCCTATTTTTGTTTTTGATTTCTTCCTTGATATAATGTGGAAGTGAGTAGTCTTCCTTTTCTGCATTAAGGGTAGCTCTATTGATGGCTTCAATAATTTTATTATTAAGTTTTTCAGTAGCTTCTTCAATTAAGTTGCTGGTGGTCATTTTGGTAGTAGCATTAATATTATTATCAAGGATATATTTGAAGTCCACCCAACTGACTTTGGTGGGGTTTGGCTGCATATAGTGAATAAAATTACAGAGTGTGAACATGATAGGATTGTGGTCAGAGTCAAGCTCTTTTAAGTTGACAAGTTCAGGAATTTGCGGAATACTGCAGGTAATAAGGATGTCCAGAACATCTGGGGTATGGTTATGATGAGAGCTAATATGGGTAGGATCTGTAGTAGCCAGGATATTGATAGTGGAGTTTTGCATGAGATTATAAAGTCTGATACCATTGCTATTAGTGAATTTAGAGTTCCAAGCAGGATGCTTACAATTTAGATCACCTGCAATGATTGTAGGATATCCAAGGTTACAAATATATTCAATTTCAGAAGTGTTGAGTATTTTCATAGGGGGTTTGTAAACAGAAACTATTAGATAGGGTGTATGATTATTGCTGTATGCAAGGCATGCACATGCTTCAATGCTATTGAAATCAGGCAGGAGGAATTCAGTATGTTTTATAGAATTTTTAGCAATTATAGCAGTTCCTCCACCAATATTATGAAGTCTGTCTTTTCTATAAACAGTGTAGTTTGCTATTTTAAATTTTTTATTTGGCTTTAAGTGAGTTTCATTTAATAACATGAAGTCCAGGTTTTTATTATTGATGAATTGATTTACTTGTAGATGTTGCCTAATGATACCATTGCAGTTGTAAAATGCTATTTTAGAGTAATTGAGTCTATTGCTGTTATTAATCTTGATTGATAGAGTCATATATCTTTAATGCTTCGAAAGCAACCATCATTTTTTCAGTAGTATTAGATGCTTTGCAAAAATCATCATATAGTTCGTAAATGGACGACATAAACATTATAATCAAAATGGATGATGATTCAACTTCCCTTTATAGTAGCCTTAGGTCATATGACATGACAGAAATATTACTGCATGTCGATTGGTCCATCCTAGAAGCCACTCCCTCGGTGGCTACACAGATGTGCAATTGTGAAATATGCTGACCTAGCTACGTGGATTTCCTGGAAATGTGCGGGTTCTGAGAATTGTTCCTTTCAATGTAAAGTCTCGCGTAGCCGAAACATAATGTGATTAGGACCCAATCTTCAGGAAACCCACATAGCTAGTTACCATTTTCACTTACTACAACGACTTGAATGTCAAACAGCAATCGATTATCGCTCAGATCGGGATCACGTGATCCTTCAAAAGCAGAACTTTCGTCTGATTGGTTGATCTCTAAGCGGGACAGAGCTTCAGCTAAAACATTTTCGGCCAAGTTAAAAAAAATCTCGCGTAGCCGGTGCATTGTTTCCGTAGCTAGGTGGTACTTCACTTGCAGCGGAGGCCTTTTTTCTAGAAATCCTCTAGGAATTTTCTAGGAACCAGTGTTACCAGAATCTCGTTTCTCAGAATAGTCCCGTCTACCAGGGACAGTCGCTAGATGTGATAACCTCTTTTAGGATATTCTTCGGAACTCTAGTGTTAACGCTGATGTCCCCCCTCCCAAAAAAAAACACCTGACCATAATAACCACTCAGCATATAACTGAGCATTTTCCTCTCCTGAATTTCAGACGGATTCTTCCCTGTTTCCCTTGCGAAGATCTTCTGCGAATACCGACTTTAGATAAATGTTGCAGTGCATGACAGTATGAGGTTTCGTTATTATCGTTGTGTTTCTGTGGGAGCAAAATGAGAAAAAGGATTTTTGTTTGGTGTTGTATGATGTTTATGTTACATCGGACATTACTAGCATTTGAATTTCAAGATATTACTAGTGAAATATTCCCATTAAATGAAGATTTTGGTGTGATATCAGCTTTTGGTCATTTTAATACCGATGAATTTACTGATATGCTTGCCATACAACAAGGGGGTAATAAATTACAGCTTTTTCAAGGTAGTGAAAAGAGACCATATTTTCAACCATTAGTTAACTGTTCGTATAGTAATGTGATAACAAGTGTTATACCCGGAGATTTTAATGGAGATACTGTTATTGATATCATGATCACTTTGTCAATAGATCGTGGTGTAAATGAAGTTAAAATATTATGGGGAAGCAATGGCACTATTAATTGCAAATCCGATACTATTTTCACTGTTACAAATCAGCCTATAGTTGTAGACTTCAATGGAGATATGATTCCAGACATTATTGGTGAGACAAGGGACAAAGAAAGATATGTTTGGTTTTCATCTGAAGACAAAAAATTTAAAAATCAAAGCTTACAACACTTGGTTAGACAAACTATTAGAAATCCTCATTCTTCAGGACTGATAGATTTGAATAATGATTTTTTGCCGGACTTGCTGATAATGGGAGAATATAATATGGAAGTCTGGTGTTATACTGGAACTGAATTCATGAGAAATGATTCTTTGTCTTACCCAACTTTAAATTTAGAACCAATAGTATTTAAATGGCAGTCAACATTTGTAGATTTAAATCTGGATGGAAAATTGGATCACATTATGCCCGTTTGTTATGATCGTAAATGTGAAAAGTCTGCAATTCTAGTGTCGGATAATGTTTCTCATTGGCATATCTTGTTGGATAATTTTATCAACCCAAAAGATAAGAGTAACTGGGGTTTTAAACTGCCGATTGGCTCTACTTTAGAAATGGTAGCATTACCAGTTACTCTCAGAGTAGGCGATATAGATTTGGATGGCTATCCTGATTTTTTAACTGTGTTACAATCAAAAAGAAATGCATCTGATGTTAGAGCTGTTATTCTTAGAAATATACCATGTAAAAATTGTCAGAATTGTTCATATGATAGATGTTTAGAAATTGAATGGGAGGTTCCTGGTTTGAAAGATGTTCAGAACATTCAGATTTTAGCTTTTTTTGATTTATATGAAGATGGCATTTTAGATATACTTGCATCTTCAAATACTAAAGAAGAGTGGAAGATACATGCTTTTAAAAATACAGAAGTGTTTGATTCATGTTTTGTGAAAGTTTTAGTACTTAGTGGACTTTGCTCAAGATGCCCAGTGGAACCTTATGGAGTAAATCAACCAGGACCAATGGTTAGATACAATATGACAAAGCAGGATGGCCAGCCAGTTGTCAGCACTTCAATCCAAATGTCACAGTCTGCTCATTTCCCATTACAGCTTCCATATTCAATTTTTGGACTTGGTCAAACTCCTAATTTCATTGATATCTTAACTATATCCATACCTGCAAAATTCAAGAAGAATGTTCATAAGCATGATTGGACCCAAATCATTCCTAACTCTCAAATTGTTGTCATACCTAATCCTCCTGTTGATGAAAATAAATGGGTAACAAAACTGTTCGTAACTCCTAGTCATCTTGTCTTGAAAACAGGTATTGCATTGATTGGGACCTGTGTATTTTTATCATTGCTTGTTGTTCTTCTGCATTGGAAAGAACGAAAAGAAGACAAATTGGAAAAAATGCAAGATGCGTATAGGTTTCATTTTGATGCAATGTAAAATATTAAGTTTCTTAAAGAAATTATTTGTGGGTATGTATGTGTGTGCATATTTAATGTAAAATAAATTTTAATATGTTTAAAATTCATCCCATAATCAATTTGGAATAAACAAATGTAAAAACCAGATGCCAGAAGCACAGTGGCAAACTGCAAAAAAAGGGGGGAAGAAGCTAAAACGAATAATGAAGTAAGAAATTTACATCTTTCACTGTATTGTTATCAGGGTGTTGATACAATAAATATATAATAAAATATATATATAATAAAAATTCATAACAAATATCCAGTGCTAAAGCAGTTGAGATCATATGTTAGATTTTAATAGATGTAATACATTAGTTAAATATTCTCTTAGTGTAATACAGTTTGTATTTTATTATAATTGATTTAATTTGAATTAAGCATAATTACATAAATTAAAGGAAATGCAAATAATTTCCATGTAATATGCCTTTCAAATTGAATACTGTGATTTAAAACCATATGCTATGTTATTTCATTTTATATAGTTATGTTGAAGATTTCATGAAAGGCCGGTTCACTTCATCATCCAGAATTTAAATGGTGTGTTATTTCAGCCTGAGAGGATGAAGAGAGGAATAGAATATTTATGAAAGCTTGAATAGAACTGTATAATCTACTAAAATTTAAAGGTTGTTGTTTTGATTTTTTTTATTAACTAACTGCTATTTGTAAGTAGTAGTACTATTCTCAAAATAATATGAATTTCCAATGGTGTAATTTTGATAATTGTGTATTATGCCATAGACCAATTGGCTACCATTGATTCATGAAAATTTTCAGTAATCCTGCCAAAGTTACACTAGTCAATCCTATGGAATTCTAAAGAACTTATTTAATAAACAATTATTATCCAATTCACTTCATTTTTGTTTTTAAAAAAATGCTTTCATCAATTTCTACTATTTTGTCCGTCTCTGATTTTACCACACACCCTGTTTAAAATGACGGAACTACTCTGATATGCGCCCTCAAGTCGCCAAATTTCTCGCCAAAATTTTTTTGCGAGAAACTCCATGCTGCCATATTACTATCTAAATCTTTTGTCTACATTTCAAACTTTAAGCCTAAAATGTCTAAAACGCTGTTTTCGCACATGCAAAAACCACATTTTGAACATACAATTTAAGCTAAAAATTCGAAACAAAAACAAAAAAATTAGATAGCAAAAACATAAAGTTTCTAACCAAAAATATTTGACAAGAATCCATGTACACAGCGATATGTTTTGACTTAAAAAATGGTTAATCTTTGGAATATGGTAACAGGCAGTTTAGCGACATTTTGGTAGGCGATAAAGGTTACTACCTAGGACTTTGGTAATAATGTGAGAAGCACTCAGTTCCGATTACGCATTATTTTGTGTGAGGGAAATGAGATATCATGAGATATGTCATGTGACATTAATGGACGGATTACAGTTGTTTAATCGGAAAAGGGTGGAAATTTTGTATTTAGCTATATTCTGTGTTGTGTAAAACGTGACATTAATGAACGAATTACAGTTCTTTAATCGGAAAAAGGGTTTAATTTGGAAAAGCTTCATTGTGTGTTGTGTGAAATAGTGTTGATTAATTTTCGGATTGCATGGCGCTATGTAAAGTGAATTCTAAATTTTTAATGCGTTTATCTGATAATAATAATAAGTTGAGATTGTGTGAAAGGAAGGATATTACAGTTAAGTTTAAATAGCGGTGCAAGAAATATGGTGAAAATGGACATTTTGTGAAAAGGACTGTAAGGAAGGGTACGTGGTTTGCTGAAAGTAGTTTGAGTATAGGTGAAATTTTATTAATTTCTTATTACTTGGTGAATAGACTTCCAGTTGACTATTGGATTTAGGATTTAGAAATTAGCAGTAGTACTGTAGCGGCGTAATGAAGATTCTGAAGAAGATTAGGCTGATCTTTGGAATATGGTAACTGGTAGTTTGGCAACATTTTGGAGGCGATAAAGGTTACTACCTAGGACTTTGGTAATAATGTGAGAAGTACTCAGTTCCGATTACACATTATTTTGTGTGAGGGAAATGAGAGATCATGAGATATGTCATGTGACATTAATGGACGAATTACAGTTCTTTAATCGGAAAAGGGGGGGGGAATTTGGAAAACTGTAGTACTATATTATTTTGTATTAAGCTTCATTGTATGTTGCGTGAAATAGTGGAAGTGTGCGTGTCACCTAATAAAGATTCTGAAGATTAGGTAGGTTAGTATTTTTAATCATTTGAGGATATTATTTTTATGCATTGTTCTAAATGTAAGGAGTAAATAAATTAATATGATATTATTGGAAAATTGTTATTAGCAATGATTTAGTTTAAAGTAATTAGGATTGTAATCTAATTTTTATTAATTTAATGTATGTGCTTATTTATATTTTAAGTAGTGTTTTTTAATTTAATTATATTTTAATTTAATGATCGTGATTTTGTGAGTTATATGTTTGTAGTATTTTGGAATATGTTGAGTATTTTCATGCATTTTCGTGAAATTTTTCTAATTTATGAGAAAAAAGCAGTGTACATGATATAGTGAAGAGTGTGCGCAATGCCATTTTTGTGCAATTCTGGGATGTTTTTTTAAGTAAAAATAAGTGACGTGTACATGGTTTAGTGATATTTTAATTAAATGATAGTTATTTTGTGAATTTTATGTTTGTAGGAATTTTTGGTATACGTTTCAGTTGAAGTAAACGTGCATGGAAGTAATTTAAAATATTTGACACTAAGTATTCGTAACCATTTGTGATGTTTGCGGTATGAATTCGTTGGTGACGTTTATAATATAATAGATAATTTAGAGGTAAAAGTTTTTGGATATTTTATTTATTTTATACGTGGAAATGTTCATCTTTGGAAAGGGTATATATTTTTTGCGATCAGGTAATTTCATATATGTTCTTTTTACCAGATTTAAAGGTTCACAAAATTTTCATGCATTTTCGTGAAATTTTTCTAATTTATGAGAAAAAAGCAGTGTACATGGATATAGTGAAGAGTGTGCGCAATGCCATTTTTGTGCAATTCTGGGATTTTTTTTAAGTAAAAATAAATCGACGTGTACATAGTTTAGTGATATTTTAATTAAATGATACAGTCAAAAGTCGTTAATTCGGACACCCATAATTCGGAATGATCTATAATCCGGACATCAAAACTAAAAACTTTCTGCGCATGCGCAACATTGACACATGCGCATAGGCGTTTACGCGTGCGCGTAAGACCTTTTACGACTGCGCGCGCATATGAGTGTGCGCAAGTGTAGAATACGTTTTTGCGTGCGCATTTTATGTATAATGGACGTATAAGCTAAAATTATCTAATTATCTATTTCAGTTAATGTTGATGATTGCATTGTTCCTTAATTTTCGAATTGCATCCGGCTTATTATTTTTTGCAGACTGTAAGAGCAATTTATAAAAGTAAGCTTGAACTTTCGATTATATCAAATAGAATTTCCGATATATATTGTTAATATGTAAAGGATCTAAAGCGAAAGTAGTTTTGAAATCCGAAATCTGTTTATCAATTTCACGCTGCTCGGCGGCGGGCGCCTAATGAATTGGAAGTTGATTTGTCAGCACTATCGTTATCTTCAGAGCAGATGTTTTTATTTTATTTGGCTTATAATTCCTTACCAATGTAGTATTTCATCTCGATATGCTCCGTCTTTGATATGATTTAAAAATCAAGGTCCTCGTCATTATAATTCGCTTCCGATAGCGAAGAAAAGTGACAGAGGTTATTGAAAACAAAAAAAATTTCGATTGAGAAATTAGTCGGTGTTCTTGACACAGCAATTATAGGACTTGAACGCGGAACTTTGTAAACTGAACAAGAAATTATGTCTGTTTAATAGAATTAAATAGAAAGTATTATCACATGAAACGAAGCACTTAAACAACTTACATTGAAAGAAATGTTTAATAAAGTAAACAAATAAATATTAAGCTTTTTCTTTTTGTAAATTTTGATACCCTTTAGATCATAATTGTTCTTTATTTCATAAATTACGGTTTCATACATTTTTAATTTTAGAATTTCTGCTGCATGCCATCTTACGAGATTTAAACTGATGATCTATAATCCGGAAAAATCGATAATCCGGAATCGCCGAAGTCCCGACGAGTCCGGATTAACGACTTTTGACTGTAGTTATTTTGTGAATTTTATGTTTGTAGGAATTTGGTATACGTTTCAGTTGAAGTAAATGTGTATGGAAATAATTTAAATATTTGACACTAAGTATTTGTAACCATTTGTAATGTTTGCGGTATGAATTTGTTGGTGACGTTTATAATATAATAGATAATTTAGAAGTAAAAGTTTTTGGATATTTTATTTATTTTATACGTGGAAATGTTCATCCTTGGAAAGGGTATATACTTTTTCGTGATCAGGTAATTTCGTGTAATTAATGTGCTTTTTACCAAGTTTAAAGTTTCACAGAATTTTTTTGCATTTTCATGCAAATTTTTGTAATTTATGAGAAAATAGCAGTGTAGATGGATAAAGTCAAGAGTGTGTGCAATGCCATTTTTGTGCAATTCTGGGATATTTTTAAGTAAAAATAAGTCGACGTGTAAATGGTTTTTGTGTATGTGCTATTCTGAAAAATGCGCAAGGAGTTTGCGATTGTGCACTTTTTCCCAATTTTGCAGTGAATATTTGTCATGATTAAGCTGTTTTGTTCCATAAAATTTCTAGCATAAGTGTAATTCAGCTAGCAGATTGTTGGAAAAAGTGTTGAGTAAATAAAAAGGAAAGAAACATGTCTTTACTTCGTGAAGACAAAATGGCGGAAAAAAAAAAAAAAAAAATAGAGGGTTGCTGTAGCAGAGTTGGTCGCCAAATTTTCGCCAAGTTACCATAATCCAAAGATCAACCTAGAAAACATCTACGAATGGCACAATCTAGGCAATGAACAAATCTACGAACTATTCACACCGCACTTTAAAAATTAACATAGCAACAATAAATTTCAAAGAATACCATGTACATAGCATCCTGTTTAAACTTTAAAAAAAAAAGAAACATCTTTAAATTGCACAACATGGGAAAGTAACGAATCTGCGAACTACGCACACCTCGCTTTAATTAATTAACATAACAACAATAAATTTCAAAGAATACCATGTACACAGCGTTCTATTTCAACTTTAAAAAACATCTACGAATTACATAATCTAGACGCTACGCAGTTATTAACAAAATAAACTAAAATAAATTTCAAACAATTTATTTTAGTTTATTTTAGTATTATCAAAAAAAAAAAAACAACAATAACGACAGAAATTTTATACTAAAAAAAAATGAACATAACATTCTACAAAATAAGAACAAAAATAAAATAAAATGCACTTACCATGAATTAATGCTTTTTCGAACAGCAGAAATAACAATTTCATACTGCCTTTAACATGCCGCCACATAATCACTATTGTATTTATATGACAGCCAGGCACACTATCCAGAAAATTCATACTATGGTTCACAAATAAATAAAATCATAAATCCCTACTTCTATTATGCACAGCCACTAAAAATAATCTCCCAGACCCTCTTTCCACACCTTCAAATATCCACTGCCCCTCAACAGGATGGCCACGATGATATTTCCTTTTGCTGAACTTCAGTTCAACAACTTCCACCATTTTACCTTTCCCCTCTATCTTCGCGAGCTTCAGCGAAAGATTTTTCAACGTCAACAGGGTTGCGTTGCAGCGCGCAATGAATTGGAAATTGATCTGTCAGCACTATCCTTATCTTCAGGGCAGATGTTTTATCTTATTTGACTTATAATTCCTTACTAAATGTAGTATTTCATCTCGATGTACTCTGTCTTTTATATGATTTA